TACACGACGTCTTCCGATCTCTAAAAATGCTGGGTTAAATACAACCCAATTGCTGGGTTTGTCCCTATTTTACCCATCACTGGGTTGTATTTAACCCAACATTTTTTAGAGTGCATGTCACTCTAGCCCTCTTGTTACCGTAATTTTCCCTTTTATCCCTTTTTCTGCATCACCTATAAGTGGAACTAAGTTTAGACATTTCACATGAGACTACGTCTGAAGATTCTGCTTTAAATCAAAGCTTAAATCATTCTGCTTTAAACCTCTGGAAAGTTTTTATGGGTGTTAAAGGTTCTTTATGGAACCAAAAGATGTTTTATTATTATAAAAACCCTCAGTTGCTCAATGGACAACATTCCTTATATATTTACACATATTTGTGTTTGAGTACACAAGTTTGACAAAAAACTGATTTATAGATCCAAAGAGATATAAGTCTAGGAGTATTTTATGTTGTAAAATATCTACTAATGAAATTATCCAGTAGACTTAAAACCAATACAGATCACATATAGTTCTGTCTCTGCAAGCAGTGCTCCATTTGACAAACTCTCATTTATTTCTCGAAAGCCTCCAGTCATGAAGTTATTAACAAGCTTGTCACCTACAAGATGTACAGTAATGTTCCATGACTTAATTATAGCCGATTGATTTTTCCCTAATTTTGCTCATAATTTGGTGCACATTAAACCAACTCAAGGCTAATAGGCTGCTAATATATGCTCAGTTCATGGCTACTTGATAATTAGCAACTATTAAGCACATGAGTGCGGTAGGTAACGTGTACGTGGACCGCTGCTGTCCTCTAGTGGTCAGATAGGTCACTGCATTATTGCATAGTGTCAAAGTCAAGGCTGTGCCCCAGTTTGAATACTAGAAACTAAGTATAAACTGTGCTGAAAATGGGAAAGTGGTTACTTTTGAAGTATGTAGTAAGACAGTATGCCAGTATTGGGATATTCACACACAGCACTGAGATCACCCATCACCACTTCAAGTACATAATATTTACACTTCCATGCAAGAATTAGCATGTAGCTAAATTATCTTACAATTATAATTCATTTGAAAGCTGTCGCAGCTTTAGACACATTTTTCACTTTTCTTCATTTTGAAAAAAAAAAAAATCTATCACACCTTTTCAACTGTTTTCTCTTCTGTTGCGCAAGCTGAACACGTTTGTATGAAAGCATACTTAAAAAAAATACAACTTAAACAGTACATAAGAGTATATAAAGAGTATATCTCCAGCAGTGTTTTTTAATATTACTTCTATGCTATTATAGTTTTTTTTTTTTTTAAATATTAGCTTTTATTTTCATATTTATTTTTATTTTAATTAAATGTTTAGTAATTTGTGCTTTTGTCATTTTAAACAAAACTATTTGTAAATAGTTTCTAAAGTTTATTTTTTTGTTCAGTTACTAATTTTAGTACTTAAACTTATTTTAGTTAGATGACAAGGCGACATTTCAAAATTTTCATTTAGAGTAAGTTTTTCACAATATTTTTTTTCAGCTTTATATCAATTAACAAAATTTTTTTTAATAGTTTTAGTTCTGTCATGACAACTCTCGGAGGGATTGGCATGGTAATGTACATGACAATGTTAATGTATTTGGTCTTGGCGGAATAGATCTGCTACGCTGCTGCTGCTGCTGCGGCAGAGCAAGTACCGAGACTTGCTACTGCCAATACATCCACAACATGCTGCTGTGAGCATGTAAGAAATACTCCCGCAGCACATATAACACATATGAATAACCCCCAGATAGCATACATGAATCACCTAGTAGCAGATCTATACAGGTGGAGCTGGGGAAGGTGGAGGGTTTCTGAAGTGCTTTTCAAACAAAAGCAAGGTATTTGAATATTGAGCAGCGAGCTCATTGGCTACCGATACAGGAGAGAACCAATCAGCTGCCATGTGACAATGATGTCACCAGGTCAGATTGAGCTAGACCTATCGGACTGCGCCATCTAGAGTTTCATTCCAGAACTCTGTATTTAACAGTGCTCATATCCAGGCACCTCTGATATACCATTTTACAAAAACAATAAGTTGAGACATTATAATCTTGCATACTTCTGATGGATAGATAGATTTGAACAAATAGATATTTGATGTGTCCTTTTTGCATTTAACACCATGCATTTGGACTAGAAACTGCACAGTGTTGAAATCAAGCACAGCATCAGTGACTCATATCAGATGCAACATTTAGTATATTATGTCCTTGGTTCAAACAAAATTCAAGACACTTGTGGTATGAGAATATAAATATGAAATGTATGATCTATAAGAATGTGATCTGTGTGACTATATCTTTAAAATGTAGATTTCAGGGCCACTTAGCTTTTATATGTTACAGTATAAATTGCAGACTCAACAAAAACTAGCAACACCCTTTTAAACTTCTCACTTTCTCTCTCAGTCTCACAAACATACCCTCACACATTGCTCACATTCACACAGGAAGTAAGCTCAAGGCAGATCGCAAGAAAGGAAGTGAGATGCAACACATTTATAAACAATACTGTTGCTTCTTCTGCAAATGTATCTGGTCTGCTATTGTACTCATAATTTGGTACACATTAAACTCAACTCAAGACCAATAAATAAATAAATAAATAAGACATAATGAAGAAGCAACGTCACTGACATTATGTATTGCTTCATACCTTAATTAATGCTTATTTTTGCCTAATTTTGATCATAATTTGGTGCACATTAAACTCAAGGCCAATAAATAAATAAAATGAATGAATAAATAAATAAAGTTATGACAAATGAAGAAGTGTCACTTACATTATGTATTGTTTCATAACTTAAATACAAACTGTTTATTTTTGCCTAATTTTGCTCAAAATTTGGTGTGCATTAAACTCAACTCAAGGCCAAAAAATAAATAATAAATAATAAATAAAATGAATAAAGAAATAAAGTCATGATGTAATGAATAAGAAATATTTATATAATAAGATTCTACACTATTTCTAGACACTAATCATATTTTTAAAAAATTTGAAATTTACTTTGTTGTACCTTTGTACAAAAGGTGAGAGGTCAGACTCTATCAAGTGGCAGATACAATCTACAAAAACTATTTTTTTTAATAATAAGGTAATATACAGTAAATACAATTTTATATAAAGAAAAAAAAAATGATATAAAGTATGAAATATCATAGTATAAGCTGATGCACATTTTGTTTAGGTGTCATGTCATTGAGTCTTAGAATGAGACTGAATGCAGATACCGAGATACACTGGAGTCACGTCACCTTTGACAGAGTGACCCACGATGCTCTCCTGCATGTCAACATCCAGTGCTATTGAGTAAAAATGGCATTACTGGTAAGTGCAGATCACATGTATCCGCCCAGCAACCACAGGAAGTCCTTCTTTTGCTGCTGCTGCTGCTTACAGAGCATCAGCCTTGTGCAGCGGAAGTGCACACTTCTATCTACACACACACACACACACATACAAACACACCTACAAGAGCAAGAAGTGAGGACTTGTGGCTCCCCGTCCCGGAAAAGACCGTCTGCATCCTGTCGGACACAAGAGTCAGAAACCATGATCAAACGCAAACTAAGTGAGTATATTTGATTGAGCACTTCCCTCGTAGTATAGTGCAATATCATTTTGCCATGAGGTTTCTTATTGTGGTTAAAGTCTCTGGTCGGTTAAGCAAGACTAATAAAGATCAAAATGCCTTAAATAACGCCCCAGTGTCCTTGTCGAAGCTATCAGTGAGTTATAAAGGAGCAGTTTGTTGACATTATTGATTTTTATAATGGCCTTAAAGGCTAATGTTCCTCTCTTATGAAGGTTAGTGTATTTGAAGGCAGTGGTACATAGACACTGATACGTTTTTAAGAGGCTTTTTGTAGTTTTGATTCACATGCCTTGAGGAAAACCCAAAGTCAAAATCATGCCGTTCTGAAGACAGTGATGGGATATGGGAATACTGTAATGACATTTGGGGATTCAGCTGCACAAAGCAAATGAATGTACTTTAGACTAGATCAATATGAGCCGAATTGAACATCGACCAAGAAAAACAAACTCATGATGAAAATAAAAGTCGTTTATATTAGATTAGTTTGAGTATTATAAGGTCAAAGTATATGGGATATATGGATATCATTGTGTGATACTGTGAGCAAATACACGTAAAAGCACAGTACAAAAAAACCCACACATACACAATGGCAGGAAAAGTAAAAAAAACACGAAAGACGTCTAAAATCAGTCATGTACATTCACTAGTAAGTTCTTATATCAATCCAGACCAACAGAAGAGGAAGGTCTTTAAAGTAAAAAACATAAAATATAAATATATAAAATATTTAAATTACTTGCGTATGTTCATATACACACGCCAATCTATTCCCAATAAAAATATAGATTATTCAACACATAATTATTGTACTTTTTGCCTTACTTAATGAGGTTAGTAGTCACAATGGAACCTAGAGCTGTCAAATTGATTAATCGTGATTAATCCCATCCGAAATACTTTAAAATATTTTTTCTCTTCATCTTCATCACTCAAAATCTTAAGGAATATTAGCTGTAGGTATACCTCTGTTCCACTAACATGTTTAACTAATTTTCCCAAGGCATTTCAACAAAAACCTTTATTTTGTGGAAAACACAGTGATCAAAATGAGAGCACAGTAACCACTGTCGCACAAAAGAAGATTGCTACTCAAATTTGGATGGTTACAGCTGTCAGAAAATTATTAGGACGTGTAGAGGCCCCTGCTTTGAATGACTTCAGCACATCTGCGGCCGCAGGACTTCTTTAGTTTCTCACACTGCGCTGGTGTGATCTTGGTCCACTCTTGGTCCACTGCTTTACCTGTTCTGCAGTGTGACAGGGACATTGTCTTGCATGAAAATTGCAGGCTGATTGGGAGATGCTTGTAGGGAAGGAACTGCATGTTGCTGAAGGAGGTTCTAATAAACATTTGTATTCACTCTGACATGTATCTGTATAAGAGGCCCAACTTCTGCTGCAGAAAACATCTCCCAAACCATGACACTTCCGCCTCCACCTTTCTCTGACTTCTTTACACACTTCAGTTTTTGCTCAGTTTGATGCCAAACAAAATGTTTCCCATCAGACCCCAAAAAAATTACACTTATTCTCATCACTAAAGTAAACTTTGGACCAGTTCTCCTCTCTCCACACAACATGCTCCTCAGCAAAGCCTTTTGATACTTTCTGCTAATGAGAGGCTTGGTCACTGCAGAGTGCGCTTTCAGTCTCACGTCTCTTAAACATGCCGAGACAGATCCATACCCTGTTCAGCGCTGAACTGGCAAGCAATTCCAGCTGCAGTGTTGAACCGATTCCTCATTGAGAGTCTCCGCATTATCCTGTCTTCTCGTGCATTTGTCCAGCCTTTTGGGGGGACTTGAAAGAATTAGTGTCGTTGCAAACCTGCAATATTCGGGAAATCACAGATTTGGAATGACCACGTTCTCTTGCTATGGCTGAAAGTGTCATCCCTTTAGCCTTAATCTGGACAACCTCCTGTCACAGGGATTCAGTCACCATAGAGCAGCCCTCCATCTTACAATCTCAGTGAAAATTGTAGGAATGCTGCCAGTTGAATAGGGTTTGTCATATAATCAAGGAAATTGGCACCAGGTGCCAGATTAACACCAATAACTTAAGTGCTCTCTAATTTTGATCAGTGTTCTTTTTCAAATATCTCATTTAACGTTTTTATACAGTGCATCAGAATACAATTAATTTATGAAATATGCTTAAAAACTTCACTTTTACTTCTGTTAGGACAAATTCAAATAGGACTAAGCAGTGACCTTGAAATTGATGAAATTTGAGGTTGTTCTCTAATTTTAATCTCCACTGTATGTGTGTGTACTGTGTATATTGTATGTATACATAAATACATACACACATACGTGTATATTTAAGAAATATATGTAATATAGATTTATATAAAATATAAATATGACTGAATATGTATATATAGCTTCTTGATTTTATTAAATATATACATGTATGTGTGTGTGTGTTTTTTATATAATATACACAGTACACTCATATATCATGTAAACACAACATTTATTAATTGTGATTAATCATTAAATATTTTAACAGTAACAATTAAATTGTTATTAAACATAAAGCAGGAAATATAGTAAATGTAGAAAACATTAAATCTTTACTTTGATAAATGTGACCCTGGCCCACACCAAAAATCATTAGGATATTAAGTAAAGATCATGTTCCATGAAGATATTTTGTAAATTTCCTACTGTAGATATATCAAAACTTCATTTCTGATTAGTAATATGCAATGCTAAGAACTTCATTTGGACAACTTTAAAGATGATTTTCTCAATATTTAGAATATTTGCATCCTCAGATTCCAGATTTTCAAATAGTCGTATCTCGGCCAAATATTGTCCTATCCTAACAAACCATACATCAATGGAAAGCTTATTTATTCAGCTTTCAGATGATGTATAAATCTCAATTTCGAAAAATTGACACTTAAGACTGGTTTTGTGTTCCAGGGTCACAAATATGTTTTGATCAGTAATTAATAAATAAATAAAAGTACAAGATATAAAACACAAATATGCTTTTACTGAGAAAATATCTATTCAGTCTTTAATTTTTTTATGTACACATTGCAATTAGTGAAAATGATAAGAAACATTGAAGTAGATATTTAAATATTTATTAATTAATATTTAAATGTTGAGTATGAAAACACTCAACATGTTTTAAGAATGTATGTGCTATTATTATTATTTTATTTCACACTGATATTTTATTTAATAGACAATTCTATCAATTTACTGTAATTTCATAATTCAAAATGTACGTGTAAATAAGATCTGGTATTTTAATTACCATTCATTTTAATATTATTTGATTATTGTGAATGCAAAAAGTAACAGTTTTATCTCACAAAACATGTTTCATCCTTAATATTAGTTACAATTTTGGATAGCTGTGTGTTTTCTTCAAGTACAACATATCAGTACAGCAACACATTATGAACTACACTCTTAAAAATAAAGGTGCTTCACGATGCCATAGAAGAACCTTTTTGTCTAAATGGTTCCATAAAGAACCTTTAACATCTGAAGAACCTTTCTGTTTCACAAAAGGTTCTTTGTGGAGAAAGAAGGTTCTTCAGATTACAAAAACGCAAGAAAGAGATGGTTCTTTAAAGAACCTTTGACTGAATGGTTCTTTGTGGAACCAAAAATGGTTCTTCTATGGCATCGCTTGAAGAACCGTTTGAAGCACCTTTATTTTTAAGAGTGTACATCACCTTTAACAGTCCCATGTGTTATTCATTTCAATCTGTCTGATATCTAAATATACTCAGTCTGGATCATAACACAAGACCACTTGACAAGAAACAAAACCAGAATGGGGCTAAACTTTGACAGTCCCCCGAGAGCTATAATTATTAAGATAAATGAACAGACGTTCCAACAGTGACAAAGAGAAATTTAAGACCCTGACATTGAAGATCATGCTAGAAACATTACAAAATACGACTAAGCTTTATTTTAAGAATAGCCTTCCTGTTTGCACAGTATCTTAATTTCCTCCCACGTTCATCATTATCACTGCTCGGCAACCTTGACATGATTTTCACCAGAAGGAAATATTCTGGCTTCATTTATGAGAAGCTGAAATGTTCAAATGGTTGTTTTAGGGACTAAAGGGACCAATGCAGGTCAGGGCTTGTATGTTTACTTAAGAGGCTACATGTTTCTTTCTCACATTTAAGGAACTCTTGGTATGATAGGGACCCTGGGGTGCACAGCAAAGCCCGCAACGAGCACCCTAAGCAATTTTTTTTTTTTTTTACCAATGAGAGGTTTAGGCTAAAAACCGTGTCGAGTTATAACACGCACAACATGTTTTCTCCTTTCTCAGACTTCAAGTGGTTTGGTAGTCTCACCAACCTCCGGCGGAAATCAGACACCCAGAAGGACGATGCCAAAAAGGTGTCCACCGATGACTTGGGCATGCATCCACGGAGCCCGAGCTACGCCAGCTCCAGTGAAATGTACACGCACATGGGCACCATGCCGCGTCACCCGAAGAAGGACAAAAGCTTGAAGAAGAGCAAGTCCAAGGACAAGACCAGCCTCAGTCGGAGTCAAAGCATGAAACCTCCACAGGACCATGTAGTTGATTCCCCACTTCTCAGCGTACTCTCTGGGAAGGGCCTGGAGGCCCTGGAGAACTCCATCTTAGAGGACAAGCCAGCTGTAGGAACCAGAGATAATCACATTCAGAATCGTGAACTTCCACCTCCACCAACTATGGATGGACACTCAGCAAAGCAGGAAGATGAAGATAAGGAGCCAGTAGATGACTCCAAGCTACATGTTGATCCACCAAATGCATGTCTGGGAACGTCACCAGATCTATGTCAGAGCAAAGAGCCAGAGGTCCAGCCAGTGCTGCCCAAGAAGAGATATAAAGAAGGAGACACCTCCATGAAGGATGCTGAGGAGCTCCAGGTGGACAATAACTTGATTCAGTTACCTCTGAAAATCGTCAGTCAGGTGGAGCAGAAGCAAGCAGCATTGGAAGATGCTAAAATAGGATCAGACTGTAAACAAGACAGTCAGGAAGAAAAAGAGCCTAACAGGTAAGAATCAGCTAAATTCCTTGATTCTTGAATCTGATCTTCATCGTTTGTTTATTAAGTACAGTAGCTACGTTCAATGAGTACAGTACAATTAACATTAAAGACGAAATACCATTCAAACAATAGAAACCATCACAGAATCTGTAATGGTTTTACAGGTTATAATGGGAATTGTATTGGTTTTAATGGAAATGGTAAGGGTCCTTGTGGATCTCTGCTGGTAATTTGTCACCTTTTATTGGTGGCTTGTTAAAACCACTAAATCGTAATGGAATATGTCCCAAAACACGCTACAGGAAAACATTTTTAATGGTTTTAATGGTTAATAGTTGGATGGTTTGTAATGGTATTTGTAGTGGTAACCTTTAGGATTTCTGTGATGGTTTCTTTAGTTTGTTCTTTCAGCAGGGAAAGTGTTATTAAGAAATGGATTTGTGACTAAATGTTTCAGAGGACAGCAACGTCACATGAACGCTATTGTTCCGACAAACAGCATGACATACGAATGTGATTTTTACACAACAGTTCAATATACAAGAAGTTAAAATTGAGCAACTAACATTTTAAACACAATACTGCAGTTAGTTTCTGTATTTTTGCACCCCCATTTGTTCCAAACGAAGCCAAAGCTGAATGAACCAGCAAGCAACATAGACTACTAGAGTGCACTCGAGAACGTCCACTATGGTTTCGGACACCACTAAAAATGGCTGTTCCCTCAAATAGTGCCCTTAAGGGTATAGGGGCGATTTCGGACACAGCCCTAATGTTTGTTCCTGAATCATTCAGAGTTTACAAACAAATCAGTTGAATGAATGACTCATTGACTCGCTCATCCACTTATCGCCACCTACTGGCGTACCGATGCAACCCACAGTAACTGAAAAATATCCCAAATGCACAAGTGGAGTGAAACAAACAGTGAAAAGCCCCAGTGCTGTTGGACTGTATATCTGTATATTAATAATGAAGCAAATTGAGACATTAGGGCAATACAGAAACTCTTGACAGATAAATCAGATAGCTGCACTATAACGTCAAATGAGACTAATCCTCGTGTCTGACCACATACCGTGACAGTGTGCTTTTGTGATACAGTAAATTATGATCTCTGCTCCTTTGTGACACTGGTTCATTGTACATGTACTTCACGCTTGAGATGTTCTCATGAGATTAAGACCTGCTCTGTGCGTTTAGACATGCATTATAATACAGTTTATCTCAGGGGCCCTATAGACTCCAGTACATCAATAACAAAATACTAAAATATATTTAAGTGAATTTATAAACGTACGTTTGGGATTGGATATGTGAAAGATTTTGGCCAATGATGGTGTTGAATATTCTCTTTTTACATCAGGCTTGCTCCACTGCTCGGTTCAGCCATGTTTCCAATTTCGCTGGATGGCGTGTAAATGGCTGGTAATGAGGTCACACACCTGTGAATGTTTGATCAATGAGGTCAAACAGCGTTTTAGCAGTGACCCTCATAAATTCACATTAGTCACATTAGTGGGCAGCAGAGAGCAACAGGGTGAACAGGCATTCAAAGAAAAGTTGTTGTTCATTCCTCTCAGCTTCCCAAAGGGACTTGACAGACCGTATGACTTAGACTGGAAAACTGAATGAACAATTTTAAGAAACACCTTATTGGGCCTTTTTTATGAAAACGTTTGTTGTTGTCTATTCATTTGGAAGTGTTGTTTGAATATGAAGTTGCACAATAATCTAAGGTGAGTTTACTATTGTTGGTATGTTGTTCGTGTCACATAGTTTCCTCTAAAATCTTATTTTAGTTCTAACAAAAAATTTGAATAACTTTGGTCATCAATTTATTTCATTTTACTTTACTTTGATGACAGTGGGGGCTAAACTGCTTGTTATTTTTAGCTTTAATTATAATAGCAGTATTCAGTAAATAGTGAACTTAAAAAACAAATTAGTGAAATGGCCTTTATATCTACACTGTATACTTTGAATTCAATATATAGCGTTGTGGTCATAAATGGGGTAGTTATGGTATCAAATTATAATACTTTACTTTGAGATATATCATGGCAAAAAAAAAGTTATTATTATGGTATCTTGTCTTGGACAGTGTTTTAGTACAGGCAAACTGCATATGCTACATAACCATTGTCTTATAATAAGACTGTATCAGTCAGAGCGCATTATAAACAACATCTGGTTTGTTGTTTGCAAGGAAGATCTTTTCCCTGTCATATACAGCTGAAGGAGGATAATGATGTGAGGTCAGCCGGCACAGCTGGAGGATGTGAGAAATGTCTTCAGGAAACACACAAGTCTTCCTGCTTTTGTATGCAGTGTCTTTAAGAGGACGCGTATTCAGTGTCACCTTACTGTGTATTTACTATTATACTAAAAGAAAACCATACTTAGTCAAAATCAAGTTGTCATATGCATACTTTGAGTTGTTAAGAGCAGAACCACCATCACATGAATTTTCCTACTAATACTCCAAATTAGCATTCATTTGAATTAAAACATATTATAAAAAGGATAAAAATATAAAAATAAATGGTTACACTTTATTTCGATAGTCCACTTTAGACATTCTATTGACTATAAGTAACTTTGTAACTACATGTCTACTAACTCTCAGTGTAGACTGTTAGGGTAGGTTTAGGGTTAGTAGAATAAGTTGACAAAGAAAGTGTTAGAAGATATTAAGCAGACAGTCTACTAATACTCTACTAACTGCTAGTTGACATGTAGTTGCAAAGTTACTTACTGTTAATAGAATGTCTAAAGTGGACTATCGAAATAAAGTGTTACCAAATAAATAAATTACTATAAATCCAATAATATTAAAATGTATTAATAATAATACTACTAATAATAATAATAATACCATAAATATGTTGATAATATAATTAATTGATAACATTAAAAGTTTAATAATAATAATAATAACAAATTATTATTAAATTAATTAAATATATGACCACTTTTATATCACATGACAAGTTGAATTAAATAAATCCCCATGTTTTTGTCACTTTCAGTTGCATAACAAATTAATTATAATTAATCATAATACAATTAATATAAATACAATAATATCAAAATGTATTATTTATAATAAAATTATAATAAATTCTATTAATTACAATGTATGGATAACATTAAAAAATATAATAATATTGGTTAATATTAAATTAATTAAATATATTGCCACTTTTTATCTCATGAAAAACTAAATTAAATAAACCCCCAAGGTTTTTTTTTTCTTTGCCACTTTCAGTTGCAGAATAAATGAATCATGGCCTGTAAATAGGGATTTTCTTCAATTGCATATTATGCTGCTGCGTGATTCTGCTTCCACACCACAAGATGTCATTGTACAATTCAAGACCTCAAAACTGACTTGGTGCACCTGAAGGCCCACTGAAAAATAACTCTTTCTAAAAGCGGTTTTTAAAATGTTATGGGTAGTTTTTCCCTATTCAGGGAGCATTTTAGCATCTTGGAGTCTTATTCGTGTCTTGGGAGATATTCTGGCTTGGTATGATCATTCACATGTTGTTTTCACCATCATTCTACACACTCCAGTAACATTGTTGAGCATTTGAGCATTTGAAGGACCTTTGCTTCATTTCCTGTTTGTATATCTATACTGCTTTCATTCCTGTGTTTCAGAACAGAAACTTCTGTTCAACACACTCTGTTTCACTTTGACTGACTCAGAGTGAAGTGTTGAGGGCATTCATACAATGGTTTTTCAGTGTGTTTGGCAGTGGTTTCCACACACTTCTGCTTTTCTTAAACTTTTCCCATGCTGAAAGCTGTTTCTTGGCCTGATCTGAGTGAATTTGTTGTTGCTCATTTATCTAATAGCCTTGTTAAAAACTCTGGTTACACTTTATTTCGATAGTTCACTTTAGACATTCTATTAACTATAAGTAACTTTGTAACTACATGTCAACTACATGTCAACTAATTCTCATTAATTTGCAACTACATGTCTACTAACTCTCAGAGTAGACAAAAGTGGACTATCGAAATAAAGTGTTACCAAAACTCTTCCCATGCTTAAAGCAAGTTTGTTTCTCTCACACACTCACAGATAAAAAAAAAAAAAAAAAACTGTCACTGGGGCTGTACCCTTTCAAACACTACTAATATGCACTTTTGAGATACTTGTACACCTTTAAGGTGCTATATGCACCCTTTCAGGGTAAATAAGGTACAAAAGTGTATCTTTTGTAGAGGTACTGCTCCAGTGACAACTTTTGTACTTTTTTACTGGGAGTGCATGAATTTTGACAAAGTACTTTTTGCTGCTGTGCAATACATTGGGATTTGAAATCCTCTTCAGCCAAAACTCTTTCTGTTATCAGTATTTCTCAAGGTTTCATTTTAAAAGTCAATTATTAAAGCTTTTGAACATAACCCTAACTGTTATTTGCAAGACAATAACTGTTGCCTATAGAAGTTGCCTATATGAAGTACTGTCTAAAAATAAAATAAATCAAAACATCTGATGTATCTAGTCTTGTAATAATAAACATATTCATATTTCTGTGCTCATATCCTCTATCTCTGCACTTCCTGTTTTTTGGTTGAACCTCATTTCATCCTTTCATTGATGTGGCGTGCAGTAGAAGGAACGTGAACACGCTTTTCACTTCCTTTGGTTGTTAAAAAAAAGTCAAGTTCCTCTCTGAGTATTAGAAGGCATCCTGTGGCATGAAAAAAAATGAATATGATGAAATCCATCTGACTACATATCTCACTGATGCTGTTTAACACTGAGGTGGCTTTGAATTTTTCATATGCTTAAATATGTTGGTTTTTTTTATGCATTTCTCTGGAATACTTGATTCTGATTGGTCAATGACTGCATTCTGCAGTATATTTTTGTACATGGACACTAAACTGTATAATTCACTGTTACAACTGCTAATTCTCCTTCTTATCATATGAGTACATAATTTGCATGTCAATTTGTTAATTTAGATTGCAATGTAAGTAGCTGTGCAT